CTCATTTAATGTTCTCCAGAAATGTTGGAAACTTGAACCTGAAAAGGGAGAGAGAGTATGTGAATTATAACTGTGATGTGCTCTCCCTCCCTCCTTATTTCTGCTTCTCCTTTTCCTATCTTCCCTCCCCACCTCTGTTCTGATTAGGGCAAATTCCTAGGGGACTGGAAACTGGTTTTTATGATTTGAAGCACTAGGTAGAAGGCATCTGTCGTGGTGAGTAACCATTTGCCTGAGGTCCAGCTTCAGACTAGGGCAGCCTAGCTGAGACAGAACTGGGTTTTGGGTGGTGTTCACTGCACAGTCTTGGGCAAACTGCACAGCTCTTTTAAGTTTAAGGTGAGAAAACTGGGCCATTTGGGTGGAAAGTTAGGTTCCTTTGTCTCAGGAAGGCTATGATTCTGGTTAGATACACCCACCTGTGTCTCACAAAGGTGGCGTCTGAAAAGCAAATGTACTGTATGGCTTAGCCCTGTCCCTCCAGTGGAAAGACACTTAATCTTAGCAAATCTGTATTGCAAGCTGGATCCTGTAGTCGATCATTTTCTTGCAAGCGTGATGTAGTCACTGCAGTTGACCCGGTGGGTGCATTGAGCACAGTGGGACAAATCACATGGTGACATGAAGACCGGGAGGTGCCTGTGCTCTCCCAGCCCCAAGAGTTGATTAAAATCCCATTTGAACATACATTCCAGTCCAGCGGGGTTTCCAAAAATAGATTCTCAAGTGAAGACAGATAAGGAGACCTGGTTGCAGCACGTGTTTGATGAGGAAGTGGTACTTTGATTTCCATCTTGATTATTGTTTTACTTGTAAATGTTAAGTTAGGTTCTTACCACTGCCTTTTCAGTCTTAGAAATTTCAACACAGAGGCAGGTAAATATGGAAATTCCACTTCTCATTACTCATTTCATTTTAACTCACTCTGGAATATGATATCTGAAAAAATACAGCATTAGAAAGCTGTTCACAGTGCCTTCATGCATCGCATATGCCTGTGTCCCACAGCGTGTCTATTTCATCCTGGTGATGATGTTTCTTGCCCCATGGCCAAGAGGTCATTGACTGTGGGGTGTTTAGGTTGTCCTGAAGACATCTTTCCCAGCCCTGGTTAGCCTGCTCCCTGAGGTGCAGTCTTATTGTTTTCCTGCTCTGTCCTCAGGCTTTTGTCCTGATTCACATCTGAAGTGTGTTTTAGGAGAACCGATAAATGGAACTGATAAATTGGAAGGTGGTCAGTTGGATTTGTCCCAGTTTTGGTCCCTGTGATATGGATCAGAGATGTGGCTCCACTTGGTCGTGTGGCACTTTCTGGTCCTCACTGAAGGGAGTATGTGTTGCACATCAGGTTCTCACAGGGCCCCACTTGCAGTTCTTATGTGGAGTTAGGGCTTATCTTCACTAGATTTTAAACCCCTAAAGGCCAGAGGTGGGCCCTGTCCTGCACTGTGTTTCCTGAAGCCCAGTCCTGGTCCTCTGCCTTGGTGATGTACAAGGTCTTTTACCACATGACCTGGGTTGTGCTCTGGATCCTGGGACCAGGGCCTCACACCAGGACTGGCAGCTTCGGGCACTGGAGGAGGAGGTCTCAGGAGCCAGTGCTGCAATGGTCGATCCTCATCTGTGTGTCAGGGAGCCTGTTCCCTTCTCCCTGCTTCCGCTCCCTGGGCCATTTATTCTGAGTGATGTGCCTTGTTTCTGATCAGAGATGTCCCTCCAGTCACATCGGGCTCTTCTCAGCTCTGGGGAGCCCTCAGGGAGTGTCTATGGTAGGGGCTGGTCCATTGCCATTCTCTCAACTCCCACTGTTAAAACACCTTTTAGTTTTTGGCTTCTCAATTATGGCTGCTGTCCTGTAGCCCTCTTTTTGTAGTTAGGGATGCAGCATCTACTATGCTGCACAGATGAATGACAGAATGGGACCGGTTGTGGTGTTGTCACAAAGAAGTTTCTGACCATGCCTCCAGCTGATTGAGGCTAGTAGCCTTTTGATGCTATAGCATCCAGCCTTGAGACCCATGCTCTTGGCACCGCCTCCCAGGCACTTGTGTATTCAGAGATGCACCTGTGTATTCAGAGATGTTCCTGCTGTTTTAAGATAGTTTCACGCTGCTGCTTCTCTCCTTGAGAGACATGGTGCTTAACATTCATCTAATGCTGAATCGAAACAGTTTTCGCTTGAAATATTTCTAGGTAATTCTACAAAGATGGAAAAATGGTGGTGGTTGGGGGTTTGAATTTATGTGTTGTTGCAATGCCAGCCAGGCCTAGTCTAGTACAGTGAGCACAAGCAATGTCCCTGTGGGATAGAAGAAGAAGTATATCTGGTCCTTGTCCTGGTTCCTGGCACAGAGCTCCTAAAATTCTAGCTCCTAAAATCCTAAAATCCTAAAATTTTCCAAGTGTTACAAGTGTCTTTCATTATTCATAATAAGGCTTTTTCATTCACATCTGAGTTTATGCTAATAAGATGACTTAGGATAGGGCTCCTGGATACCCCAGGATGGGCCTGGCCACCACAGAGACCAGGGTTGGAAACTTCAGCCCCACAGGCTGACCGCTGGGGAGTGTGTGTATGGGGGGGTGCTGGAGACAGGATTATAAAAACTCTTGAACTTCTGTGTTGGTGAACACAGGCACATAGCAGGAAGGTGGGGAGTGCACCCAATGGTACTGGGACAGAAGCTCCTGCACTCCGGTCCTTCTGGACCATGCCCTATGCACTTCTTCATCTTGATGTTCATTTGTGTCTTTTCTAATAAACCCATAAATATAAGTAAGTATTTTCCTGAGTTCAGTGAGCTGTTCTAGCAAATTATAGAACCAGAGGGGCTTGTGAGAACCCTTGATTTATAGCCAATCAGTCAGAAGTACAGGGGGCCTGGAACTTGGGTCTGAAATGGGGACAACTTTGTGGACCCAACCCAGTGCCCAGAAATTTTGTGGATGAACCAAGACTTATGAAGCTGTACATTGATTTAAAATACATGGGCAATGCTTATGAATACACAAGCACCACACATCTTACACTTTGAAACGACTGCATGGAGAATTGATGTGTCTTCCTGCTTTGGTGTAGTAAAAGTAACTTGTTATTGGGCATCATTTATTCACATGGCTCTGTAGTAATTAGATATAAACAGCTCAATCCCAAACTTAAAAAAAGTCTTCATATGAACTGGGATGCTGGTCCCACCACTGCTCCAACGACCTTGGGGACTGGAGTTTCCTGGGCTTCTTGGTTTCTAGACTTTCTGGTTCCAGTGCTTTTGTGGATGGAAGCTGAGGGTGGGCACTGAGGCAACTGTGGTGGAGGTGGTCTCAGGAAACAGGTGTGGACTCATGGGAGCTGAGGGAGTGCCCCGGAACAGGGTGGTCTTCCCAGCACCTTGCTCCTGACCCCATCCCATTGGAAAGCTGCAACTACCTTGGGATTGTTAAAAGTGTCTTTTGGTGTTTCTGAAAGAAGTTATAATGGGGTTCAGATTTTTAGAAATATGTATATACCTTTTTTTAAACTTTTCTTTTTTCTACAATGAGCATTTATTTTCAGGAAAAAAAAAGGCTTGAAAAGTACTTTATACTGCTATCTGGAGATCTCTGAGTAACAGTGAAGGTCTTGGGAGACATAGCATTATGTTCACAATTCAGTATTCAGGCCACCCCCTGTGTGGTCATGTTCTTCCAGAAAGCCTTGAAATGTGGGAATAGTTGGGATGATTGCTTGGGCTTGGGGGTTGCTCTTGAGCTATAACTGTGGCCTGCTAGTCTTTCTTCTGATCCAGGGAATCTGAACAGTCTTACCCCAAAGATGCCTAGTATCTTACTTCTAACTGTTTTGAAGCCTTTGAGTTGTTGGAACTGGGGAAAGGGTGCTGGTTGGTGGGAGGGAAGCTGACAAGCACCCATGTTTGATTCTTTAAGAGCAACCTCTCCTGCTGAGCTCTCTGGAGTCCATGCTGGCCTCACTGTTTCCCATCTCTAACCTAAGATGGGCTTCAGATCTCAGGAGCACCCTTTTGAATCTCTTGGGGCTACTGTCTTTGTCCTTGGATTTTAAACATCTCCAGGGACATGCAGGGTTTGACTGTGCTAGCTATTATCCATTGTGGGTAAAAAGTGAGGTTTTGTTACAGTCATTTAACCTGACATTAGTAATTTTGTGAAACAGTATCTACAGGAGAGTCGTGGCTGCCCTGTGAAACTGATGCTTTCTCGCTTAAATTAGTAACAAAAATGACCTCTGTGTGCAAGTCTGTAATGATATGCATGTTATTGTGGGGCATTTTACACCACTTGTCAGAAGCTAATTTTAAAAGAAAAGTGTGATTCCTGGAAATCTTGCCAGAGTTTTCTTTCCTTTCTGTTTGGGAGAATATAGAAAATCTCAAGCACTCTAAATTCAGTCTGCACCAGGTTTAGGTGGTGGGTGGGTTCCAGTCTCATCTTTGCAGCGAGTCTGGATAGATAGAAACAGCTCCTCAATACAAAAGTGGATTTAAAAAGAAAGGATTCGTGAATCACAAACACCTGGCAAAGGTTTTGCCTCAGTGCATGTTTATGGGTCTGAGCTGCCCAGTGCTTTGCTTCCTCATGTCCCACAAGCACCCTGGCTGCTTGAGACTGCTCCCTGGGCTGTGTTTCTGTTGGCAGACAGGCCATTTGTCAGTATCTGGGAAGAGGAAGCGTAGCTCTTCTGTTTTTATTATCTTAATGCTCGTGGTCTGCAGAAAAGCCGACTTCTGGTAAACACAAGTAGGTAGAATATGGTTGCTAAACAGAAGTAAACCAAAACTGCTAAGCCAGTTGCTCTTAAGCCAGAAATAGGTGTTTGCTATATCTCAGTTGGCAAGTAGGGATAATCCATGATGAAACTGAAGCTGTCTTCCTTTAAAAGTAGGAAGGACACATGCGATTCTATTGTTTGCAGACTCTCAGGGTAAAGAATTTTGACTGAAATGCACGCAGTTTCTGAAACCAGTGCCTTCTCTGTTCTCCAGATGGACTTTCTGGCCGAGACCAGCCAGTGGAGCTGCTGAATCCTGCCCGAGTGAACCACATGCCCAGCACGGGTAAGTCTGCCCACCTCTGCCCTTCCCTCCAGTGCTGGGCTAAGCCAAAGGGGTATTATGAGTCTCTGCTATGTTGGGTGAGCATGGAAAGAAGCAGGGAGTATGGTTATCAGGACCACTGAATTAGGGTGCTCTTTCTCTGGCATAATAGAGGCTGCCCTTTTTGGAAATGAAATGGACATTGGCTTGGTGCTATTTAAGTGGCAGAGAAGTGCTAATGTTTTCTGTCTCTAAAGGGTTTGTTCTTCTTAGTAGTACCAACTGCTTGTGTTGGGTATAACCGCAGGCCCTGATCCACATGAGAGTGTGTAGGAAAGCATTCTGAGCTTCAGCTGGAGCCAGGCTGGGTCCTGCAATGCGGGAGGGTGGAGGGGGGGGCAGAGTGCTGGCCAGCCACATGACCACAGGCAGATCATGCCTTGTCTATGGCCTCTTGTTTTTTTTTTTTAGTTGGAGTCTCACTCTGTTGCCCAAACTGGAGTGCAGTGGCACGCTCACAGCCACTGCAGCCTTGACCTGCTGGGCTCAGGTGATCCTTCCGCCTCAGCTTTCCAAGTGCCACCATGCCAGCTAATATGTTGATTTATTGTAGAGAGAGGTCTTACCAAGTTGCCTGGGCTGGTCTTGAACCCATGAGCTCAGACAATCCTGTCACCTCAGCTTCCCAAAGTGCTGGGATTATAGGTGTGAGCCACTGTGCCTGGCCTCCTGTTTTTGTGGCAAAATTAGTCAATGGGACTGTCTGTCTTCCAGGCACCTTTCAGTTTTTTAACAAACCATCAACTCTGATTATAAGTCTTTATCCCAGGACACTTGACCCTTGGGGAGGCATGAGGAACCTTAAATACCATATGAAGATGCACAATTTAAAAATTTTAGCTCACATAAACAGTTCTGATTTTCACCTTCTCTTGAAATCACTTTGCGGGTGTTATTTTTGTTGTCAACACTGAATCCTTCTGTAACTTGAATATTTTGAGACAACTTCCTTGTGCTTGCCCAGGTGTGGAACAGAGGTAAGGGGATTTTTCAGATAGCCTGATGGGCTCTGAAAAGATAGTAAATATGCATAGTTTCCCAGTGAATCAAAAAAGGTGAACTTCAAATTAAATTTCTGACTTGTGAAGTATACCCTGCCCCTTGAGACCTTACATGGAATCCTGGCTTAGCAGGGGAACGGAGCAAGGACTTCAGTGTAAGACAGAGTGGACACAGATCCTGACTGTCTGTGCACTTTGTGAACTTAAGCAAATTGCTGAATAGCTCAGTCTTATTTTCTCATTTCTCAGATGGGGATAATAATACTTCTCTGCAGAGTTTTCATAAAGATCAAAGCTATATGTCAGCTTTTTAGTAGTTCTGTGATAAATGTCATCTCAACAACCCGTTGACTAGTACTGAAGAATGCATGTGATGTAGCCTTTATAGTGTCAGTTCAAGTTCTGGACATTTCCAGTGGCCTGTTACCATTATTTTCTTCCTTTGGGGTGAACCACCCAACTTGAGAGGTGGCATATTGGGAAGAGTGCCCCCTGAAATTGACTCTAATCATTTACCTTCCTGGTAATCATGTTCCCATTGGTCAAAGTCAAAGGATGGGGTACTGTACTTCTTAGTGTTTATTGTATATTCTTGCACCATTTGTGGTTGCAGTGTTTGCAGTGTGATTTTAAACAGCATAGATGCACTGCCTATGAGCAGTGGGCAGAGAAAGAATGAATGCATACTCTGCAGTATGTGTGTAGTACTCATCATTAAGCCTGCACCTTGGCATGTGCCATAGAAGCCTCTGAATTGTAGGGTGTTCTTTCAAACTCCATTTTGGTCATTTCAACCTACTATAAAATACTACAAAGAAATCTTAATCTCATTTTAAGTAATAATTTGAAAATTGATATGAAAAAAAATTTTTTTTTGAGTTGGAGTCTCATTCTTGTCACCCAGACTGGAGGGCAGTAGCACACTCACAGCCATCGCAGCCTCAATCTGCTGGGCTTAGGAGATCCTTCCATCTCAGCCTTCCAAGTAGCTGGAACTATAGATGCACACCACCACACCTGGCTAGTTTTTATGATTTATTGTAGAGATGAGGTCTCATCAAGTTGCCCAGGCTGGTCTCGAACCCCCAGGCTCAGGAAATCCTCTCACCTTGCCCTCTCAAAGTGCTATGATTACAAGCTGAGCCACCACGCCCAGCTAATACGAAAATGTTTTTAAAGTTATGTTTTTATGATATGGGAGGGAAAACATTTTAAGGTATATTATGCCAATCCCATTTTGGTGTTGTTATGTTTCTTAATGATTGAATTTAATCTTATGCATTTTGACACTCGAAGATATGAAAACAAATTGATGTATATACATATGTATGCATATAAAATTGTCAGGAATTACTCCAGCATTTACCCTGATACTTGTTTCCTTTGAAGATATGAGCTTTTACTCTGAGTAGGAACTGTGCCCAAACAGCGTTCCCACTGATAGTCTTCTCTAATTTCTTGACATTCCACCGTGCTAAGGTGGCATGTGCAACATTCTTTCTGATTATGGTTCTTTCTAAATATTTTTAATCCTAATAAATTCTCACTTCAAATAAAAGCCTCATTCATACCATTTTTTTGTAGATCATTGTGAGTTAAGACTTTAGATACCTCAGGTAAGAACATCACTTTTGTTGGAAAAGTCTATATAGGTTGTTTATCTCTTATCTGAAATGTTTGGGACCAGAAGTTGAATTTTGGAATATTTGCATTATCCAGTGAGCATTTCCTTTGAGCACTGGGTTTTGGATTTCCAGATTTGGGCTGTTCAACCTGTATTTAAGGAAAGCCAGAATGCTATTTGTTTTGGATCAACTTTGATTTCTTCAATTTCCCTCTTAATTTCTTATATGTAAAGAAAACTTTGCTTCTGTCTGTATTTCTCTTTTTTCCCTTGTTTTAAAATTTTTAATTGTAAAGTAACTCTGTCATGAAAGACAGAAAACACATAAAACCATTTACCTACCACTAAGATATAATGAATGAATATTATGTTAATACTATTTCATATTAGTATCATGTTTCTTTATTTTTTTAAATAAATGGAATGTTACAGCTATGGATGAGGCTATGCCCCCTCCCTTCCCAGAGGTAGTTGTTCACTTTCTTGATGAATGGAAGGGCCACCTTGGAGGGAACTTGATGCAGAGGCAAGCATAGATAGGCCCAGTGTAGACATGGTAGCAGGGTGGGATGGGATGGGGGTGGGAGATCATGGCTGAGAGTCCTCCTCTTCCAGAACCTTGTGTGTTCCCATTGAATTAGGAAGCGGAGTCTTCAGCTCAGAGTTGGGGGAGAGGGGATGTTGGAACTTGGAGACAGAGGAGAAGGTGTGGAATATTCACCTAAGAGAGTGAGTTCAGGCACAGACCAGTGAAATATCACATGGGATTACAGACCCAACTATGTTGAGGGGTTGGACTACAGGGAACTTAAAAAAAATTCCAAAAAAGAACCTCAGAAAATGCTGTGCACCTCTATCTGACACAAGGGGAAATAAAGCTGATTTTAAGGGTAGACTGCTATAGTTTCCTCTGACGCAAGGTGGTGGTTACCGTACACTCTGTTTATGTGTCCTGATCAACGTGTATCTGTCAGAGTTAGGGAGGTTTCTTCTTAAGGTGTACGTCAAATGTGCATTTTTTTTTTTTTTTTTTTTTTAGTTGGAGTCTCACTCTGTCGCCCAGACTGGAGTGCAGTGGCCGCTCCCGGCCACCGCAGCCTCGACCTGCTGGGCTCTGGCGATCCTTCCGCCTCAGCCTTCCAAGTAGCCGGAATTACAGGCACGCACTACCACACCCGGCTGATTTTTTGATTTATTGTAGAGATGAGGTCTCACTGCCCAGGCGGGTCTCGAACTCGCGAGCTCAGGCAATCCACTCACCTCAACCTCCCAAAGGCACAGGATTACAGGCTGAGCCATTGAGCCCGGCTAATTTTTAAAAGAAAATTCTGGAATCTTAATGGGGAGAAACTACAAAAACTGCAGAAAACATCTCCAAAAGAGGGAAGAAACCATAAAAACTGTAAAAAAGTTCTCTATTAAAAAAAAAAAAAGATATTTGGCTTTAGCTGTGGGTTTCCCAATCCGGAAGGTCTTTGACCAGCACACTGTCAAAGGGGTTGCTGAATTTCTTGACACTTCTGTTACATTTTGGAAAAGGAGCTATTAAAGCTTACCTGGCACACCTGAAGCTTATGTTCCCTCCAAGATGTGTTTTGTTGTTGTTACTGTTATTGCTGTTTTGTTGGTAAGAGGAAACTTGAATCCATTACAAATAGGAAACATATGACCTCAGGGGAAACATCAGAAAGTCCCCCTTTATTGCACAGGAAGATGTTACCTGAATAAATGGAGATCCTAACAGACTCTTAGTTGGAATATTTCTGTTTGGTCCACTGTGTGTGTTTTCAGTGTGGAGCTGGAGTTTCTGGGTTTTGGACAGGGTGCAGTAAAGGACTCATGACTGCCCTGGTGGTTCCTGAGAGGGGCCCCTACTGAAGGCCCAGGAAAGGATGATGGAAAGAAGAGAGCTCTCTTTGGCCTCTACGTTCAGGTGCCATCTTGACTCTCTCAGTTGTTTTTGTCAGGTCAGGGGACATGTCTCTTCGTAATTCACTTCCTTCTGGCCACAAACCATGCTGCTCTCAGGCCACAGCCGGGGATTGGGAAGCATGTGGTAGGATCACCTGACTCAGCAAACACATCCACCAGCCTCACAGGTTGCCTGCTTCACAGTTTTTGCTTACTTATTTGTTACGATTTTTGGAAGAAAGACAAAATATGGAATATAAACACATCAAAGTAAAATCAGAAAAATTCCCATGGTTTGATTTGCTTAGCTCAGACTGATGTTGAGAGTTTTTCTACTTCCTTCCATCAGATTAACCTGAGAGCCTGTATGATTAGCTGTGACTTAAAGACCAGAGAGAGGAGTCTGTAGCCCATATAATTGTAGA